CCCCAAAACCCCAAAACCCCAAAACCCCAAAACCCCTTTGCTTCGACTTATTTGAGAAACATTAAAATTTACTTAAATTTTTCTCAAATCCTGCGAATCGATCGATATTGTCTTCAACCTCCTTCTGCTTTTCTTCTGGGATGACAGTACTAGTGAAATCTATCTTAGTGTTAAAATATTTTGTATCTGTAGCATCATCAAATTCAGGCTTGAATAGAGGCTCGATTCTTCTCTCAAGAAGATCATCGATATTGATGTCTGAGAACCATGGATGAGAGAGCACCTCTTCCATGTCATCGATTGAGCCTAATCTTTTAGATTTTTTCTTTGCAAGGAGTTTACAGATTATATCCTGCGCTTCATCAGAGTATTCAATTTTATACTTTTTCTTATTAGGGAAAATTATTTTCGATTGTTGGATTCTTGTCAGCATTAGATTCCTGCTCCGGTTATAGAATGGTGTGACACCGATCAGCATTTCGTAAATCAAGACCCCAAGAGCCCACCAATCTACTGACTTATCATGTCCCTTTTGACTAACCATTTCAGGAGCGAGGTATTCTGGGGTTCCACAAAAGCTTTGGGACATTTCTGAGTCCTTTAAGATCTTGGCAAGACCGAAATCTATAAGTTTGATATATCCTTCTTCGTCCATTAAAATATTTTCCAATTTCATATCTCTATGTCAGATGTCCTTTGAGTGTAAATATCCAATTGCGCATGCTATTTGGGCAGCATAAAATTTCACTTGCTCTTCAGGGAATCTTTTATTCTTGAGGAAGTGCTTGTAAAGCTCTCCCCCTCTCACGAAGGGCATCACAAAGTAGACTCTGAGATCATTTTGGAAAACATAGTCCATGCCTCATAAAAATGGGTGATCTCATTCGAGAAGGATGTCTCTTTCGAGCTTTGTATTCTCAATTTGTTCAGTCTCTAAGAGTACATCTTTTCTGATAGCTTTGATTGCATACAGCTTTTTGTTTTCAAGTAATTCAGTTAAGTAAACCTTGCCAAAAGTTCCTTTGCCTAATACAGTCAGGATTTTAAAACTTTCGAGAGATAATACTTTTTGGGTACTTTTCTTATTAGTGAAAATCAGGACAGATTGACGACATGTAAGTTCATCTTGCTCAAAACAAGCAGCTTCTTTGGCTTCCTCCGCTTCTAACATCCCAACATCACGACCATTTTCTCTTGAGTTGGTGTTACTAAAATCATCAGTGACTCTGTAATCAGCCGAGTCTTCTGTGGTTTCTTCAAGACACAAACTCTCTAATCAATCTCCCTCTTCGTTTAGGTCTGCAGATCCTTCTAATTCTTCAACTTTCGATCTTTTATTTGGAGGAGGGAGGTTGCTGATGCCATACCTATTTATCCTTAATCGGAGTGACATATCTAGAGATTAAGTGAACACTTACTTTTCAATTTCGTCATCGACTAAATATATTTTTAGAGTATCAACTGGATTTAGATTTGCGAACCTTAATTGCAGAAGTTTGATGAATTCATCCCTCGAGCTCGTGTCAAATCGGTAGTCATAATCCTTAGGCATATGTAAAATAAATTGGTTATCAAAGGATGTCTTTATTATTGCTAGAATATCCGTGATTACTATCTTCCTTCTAATCTTTGTTCCAGATAGATTGTAAATATGCTTGGTTGTCAACACTAAATCTCTCTCTGAAGACTGCCCATGTGCATTGATCTTAAATCATTTATCTGAGTACATAACAGGTTCATCATTTGTAGAGAGAAGTGATTCATAATCCTCATTTTCTTGGATATGAAGCTTATCCGGCACATCCATCGTTTCCATTTTAGGCTTTTATTTATTAATATTATTTTCTTCCGGGGTTTTGGGGTTTTGGGGTTTTGGGGTTTTGGGGTTTTGGGG